CCACCACTGACTGCTCTGACTGGGATCACAACAGAGGGACCTGGACAGAGCTGGAGAAGAATGTAGAACAAAATTCTAACACACAAGAAAGGACCACATTTACTGGCCTGACAGAGACTGGAGAAACCCCAACAGTATGGCCTCCGGACACCCTTTTAGCTCAGTGGTGAGGTCACTCCTGAGGCTGATTATTCAGCAGGGTATTGGACGTTCCCGTAAAGCAAAACGGGACTAATGAGGTACAGCAGTCCAGGGACAAGGACTAGAAGGCAGGAGGGGACAGGAAAGCTGGTGATATGGAACTCAAGGTTGAAAGGGGACAGTGTTGACATGGTTGTTAACCATTGTCATAGGGAAATATGTGTACTAACTGTTTAATGAGAGACTATTCTGTTCTGTAAACCTTCATTTGAAGTACAAAAAAAAAAAAAAAGAATTATCTATGTGAGATCAAACTGATAACAGCAACTCAAAAGGTTTGATGGGAAGCCTAGGGGTCAGTGAGTTGAAGACAATGGTGATGGAATAATTTGGAAAAGCATAGTGAGAATAGCAGCACAACTGGAAGAACGTAATCGATGTCACTGAATTGTACATGTAGAAACTTTTGAAATGGTGTGTCTTTGGCTGTGTATATTTTCACCAAAAAAGAAAGAAGGTCCTCCAAGGTTGAGAACGGAGAGTGTTGACGTGCTGTGGGGTTGTTAACCAATTTCATAAAACAATGTGTGTACTGACTGCTTAATGAGAAACTATTTGTTCTGTAAACCTTCACCTAAAGTACAATTAAAAAAAAAGAAATTACCGACAAAATCTAGTGAGTGCACGCGAAAAGACCAGATGTAATGCTCTGACAGAGACTGGAGGAACCCCCAAATCTATGGCCCCTGGACGCTCTGTTAACCCGGAGCTGAAATCATTCCCGAAGCCCACTCTTCAGACAAAGATTAGACCGGAACTGTAGAACATAAAATAATACTCGTGAGGAGTGTGCTTCTTAGTTCAGTCAGATACACAAGACCAAATTGGCAGCTCTTGTCCGGAGGCAGGATGAGAAGGCAGGAAGGGGCAGGAACTGGTTGAATGGACACAGGGAACCCTGGTGGAAAAGGGGAGTGTGCTGTCACATTGTGGGGATTGCAACTCATGTCCCAAAACAACATGTGTATAAGTTTTTGTATGAAAAATTAACTCGAGCTGTGAACTTTCACCTAAAGCACAATAAAAAATTTAAAAAAAAAAACAAACCTAGTGAGTGCAGAGGCGTAGAAATAGTCGCAGACTGGAAGCCAGGAGTCCTGGGTGCTTTGCCTTGCCTCAGCCTCAGCTGCACTGATCTCGGGTAATCCATTTAGTGCTCTGCTCCAAATTGCTCTCGCCTGTAAGAAGGCACAGTTCTTGCTGCCACACTTGCCTCTCACGGATTTGAGAAGATTAAAGTAGACAGCGTGTGCAGGGATACTTTGAAAACAGCCAGAGCCTTTCCCAGATGTGTAAGACATTACCGTCCGTAATAATAATACATGCTGTACATTTTTGAAAATTACCAAAACTGTATTTTTTTTTTTTTACTAATCAACTTCAATGAAAAGCACTCTATATTGAAAAAGGAAAAAAACATCTAATTGAATCTATCTTCACAAGGCCCATGAACTGTTAACGTTCAGTTTCACGTGACAAAAAAATACGTTTCCCAGCCTGTATTTCAAAAAAGGAAAGATATTTGCTATAATTCAGTTTTATGCCTCTATTTATTATACTGTTACACTGATTATATTCTTTTTGTAAGTTCATTGGACGATTGGAGGAACGAGCTGTATTATACTAACTTTTACACTCCCAGTGATAACAGCCATTGATTGAGTTCTGCCCATGGAAAACGGAGAGAGAAATAAGCACCTCGTTCAGCCCAACCTTTAAGCTAAGAAGTTTTAGTTCCCTTTTGCAGAAGCAAACACTAAAGCTCAGAGAGGTTAATATCTTGCCCAGGATAAAAATGAGTAATTGGTAGAGCACTGGACTTGAATTTAAGTCTTTCTGAATCTAAAATCTGTATTTTTATTCTAAATACTATTGTCTCTGTGAACTATAGCTATCATCCATAAAACATACTATAATCTTTATTTTAGATTATTAAATTAACAAGTAACATATATTTTTGAAAGCAAGATTTAGCTAATTAGAATGAATTTGTTGATATCCGAAAAGGTTTTTGAAATGAGTTTTAAGATTCTGACATCCTCCTGAGAGTCAAAGTAGAAGCTGTATATGTCTCACCATACTGACCCTAGACGAGGAGTCAGAAGAGGAGGTGTGGGGGAGAGTTCTTTTCTCTAAATGTTTCCTTTGGTAATTAGTCTCTATGCTTAAATTACACATTTAGTACAAGTTTTTTAAACACATATTTTCACTCTTCATCTATGGCAGTGCCCCTAGATGGGGCTGTGCATTAGATCATCTAGTGATTTTTTTTTTTTTATGTAAATTTCCAGGTCCCTGCCTAAACCAATTGAGTCAGAATTTATGGTGTCTGTATTTATAAAATTCTTCCTCAGGCATTTCTGATATAGCTGGTCCATGGAATCACTGATCTGTTGTGATTCATGACCATTCGGAGTTGTTATTTTTTTTTAAAAAAATCCTAATACTATATGCTATATTTTTACGCATATAACATGCACCTTCTGCATTGGTTTGCTGGCCATGCCCTCCCCCAACAAGGCATCCTCACAAGTGCCTCCATGCCAGTCCTCTTCCACATGTTGCTGTAAAAAAATCAGCATATCTCACTTTGGAAAATACTTCTCTGGGGTCACTTGGCTTTGTAGAGTAGTACTAAGTGATTAAGCTACAGTTACTGAAAACCACAACTTCCTATAATTATGACTCAAATGGGTAGAAAATGGAAGCATACACATAGAAAATTTTGTAGAAGGTCAAGGAAGAAAAAATCCTAACTGCCGTCTGTTTGCCAGGTTGAGACCTCATGTAGCATCTTTCTTCCAAAGTGAATTTCATGTGTGAGCCGTAAAGATCTGAGAGTCCTGTGGAGTGCTGAGGTAGTAGCTCTCTGAGACCTCAGCACCCAGCCTCCAGCCACTTCAGTAAGACTTTTCAGCCCCTCCAAGAAGTCCCTACGCAAACTATCAGTAATTTACTCTCTTCCAACATGACCATTTTGTAAGAGACATTTTTCTGCATCTCTGTAAAGGAAAAAGTTGCTTAATAAACACAGACTGTCATTTTCCCCATATGTTAAAAGCTCATTCAAAGCCATAAATGTTGTTGTTAACTGTTAACTGTTGTTAACTGCTGTCCAGTTGGGCCCCAACTCATGGCGACCTCGTGTATTACACAATAAAACTGCTCCATAGGGTTTTGTTAGTCGAAGGAGCCCTGGTGGCGCAACAGTTAAGTGCTTGGCTCCTAGTGAAAGGTTGGCAATTTGAACCTACCCAGTGACGCCACCTAGAAAACCCTATAGGGCAATTCCCCTCTGTCACATGGGATCACTATGAGTCAAAATCGACTTGATGGTACCTAACGACAACAGCAGTCTTTGTGGAAACAGATCACCAGACCCTTCTTCATGAGCCACTGAGTGGGTACAAACCACAAGCTTTTAGGTTAGCAGCAGGTGACAAACCACGTGTGCCATCCAAGCTCCTGTGTATGTTAAAAACTCATTCAAAGCCATGAATAGACCACAAGAATGATACCGACAATGTATAAGCCAAGAAACAGCATGGCGCCAACAACAGCACATTTCAACGTTAGAAACGTTGAATGTTAACGTGTGATTGCAAATATCTGCAAACTTGTGCTGACCATAAATGTGATTCAGAATCATCCCATAACTAAACACACACACACACACACACACACACACACAAATCAAGTCCAATTCAGTGTAAAATTTCTGCTAAGAAAAATCTTTATCTCGAATCTTAAATTTTCAACAGTGGTTCTTTAAAGTTGAGACAAAAGTTTGTTGTTCTCTTAAATGTACATTATTTGCTTCCTGAAAGGCAGACCTATTTACATATTTTTAGGCGTGGCTTTTAAAAATAATCAACACACTAGCATATTTCTCCCTAACCCTGGAGATATGAGATACATAGATAGACAGACATATAGGTCGATGGGTCAATGGATCAATGGATGGATAGATAACTGTGTATATATGTACATACATGTACATATGTATATCTATATCCATGCCCACTGTCACTGCTATGTTGATTTTGTGATCTGAGAAAGCAAACCAACTTCCAATGGCCATTGAAAACTTGGCCAATTAATTGAAAAAGTTGGCCACTTAAAAAGTTCAAGCTCTTCCAACCTTTCAGGCAGGGAAAGTTAAATCTAGACATAGCTTTGCTAGAGACAAAAAAAAATAGTGGGTGTATATGAAAACTGTGAGTGAATTTTGAGAACATACATTCTAGCAACAGAATCTGGAAACATACTGGTCAATCTGAGCAAAATAAAATCCCAAGTGAGCCCCACTTTTGAGATTGCACAACCTTTGTCAACAAGGAAGTCAGACTATAGTCAAGGTGTTTGTTTCTTTTCTCTCTTTTTAAGAGACAGATGGAAGAAACCAGAGATCATGAGTTAATATCCTGTAGGCTTCACCACCTTAGTGTAACATCATTCAATGGTGTGAAATGATGAGTAATTAGAGTGAAAATTATTATTTTCCTTTCTTGAGAAACCCTTTCATAAACGTGAAATTTTAATCTTTTCCCTGTAATTAGATTTCTGTGATGTTCCCCCATGTTTTTGTATGGTTTGGGAAAGAGAGGATTTATACAGATTTCATTTTTATTAGGCAGAGCATGAAAGGAGAGTTTAATGAATGTTTACAGTTCAGCACTGATTTATGCAACGAACACAGAGAGTCTTGTACATGATGAAATTTTGCTCAAATGGCACTTGCTGACAACCTTTCAAACTTGAGTTCTGAATCAGTCTTTTTCCTGTTGTCTTTTTAACAGCCCACCTTCCCTGTAGGTCCTGCAATAGGGACAAATACAGCAATTAGCTTTGCTCCTTACCTAGCGCCGGTAACCCCTGGAGTTGGCTTAGTCCCAACGGAAATTCTACCCACCACACCTGTGATCGTTCCTGGAAGTCCGCCTGTCACTGTCCCGGGCTCAACTGCGACTCAGAAACTTCTCAGGACTGACAAACTGGAGGTACTTCAGTTGTTTGTGGTTTGAAAGGCATTTGTGGCAGGGTGTACTTCTGTGTAAGTGAATACTTGTGAAGTAGTAATTCAGTCCTGCAAAACAGCCTCGTGTGCATGCACATACACGCACACACGTGCACGCACACTCACATGTCTAAAACCAATGCAATCATAATCCTAGGGTTTGAAATTAAAGCCAAATATAGAGGGAATTAGTCTGTGGGAAAAGAAGAACTTTAATACAAAGGAACACTACAAGCCACAAAAGTCTTTGTCTGACCTAATGTATGTTCCTTGCCATCAACTGTGTGGAAACTATGTTTAGGGGTAAGGCATTTAACAACCAAGAGAGCATTGAATCAATCATGATTCAGGCCGTAGAGATGGAGGAAGATCCTGAGGGCTTCCTGCTGTGCCAAGCTTTAACCCCTGCTGGATCCTGGAGAGGTCTGGGGGCGGGCAGGGCAGGAGCCCAGCAACCAGAACAATAGGGGGCCCTCAGGGGCAGCGACAATATAGGGAAGGGTGGGACTAGGACTGTTTACCAGTTGGTATAATCATATGTCAATACTTTAAGAACTAGTCTGGCTGCCTGAGTCTGTACAATAAGACCAGCCCTGTCTTATTGGTGACAGGAGTAACTGGAGCCTGGGTAAATTTAGTTACCTACTGAGACATTTTATTTCACTTAACTGCAAGGGTTCTATAAAATCCAAGAAGGAAAAGTTTATATATTTAAAAAGCATAAATCTTAAATCTTGAGTGAAGACAACCCTCCCTTACTTTGTTAGGTGAAGCTTCTCTTTAATGATAGCTAGGACATTCATCCATTTGTCTTACTACTACATACTATGATACTTAATAGAGCATTTTATAAGGGTGTATAGATGCTAATAGATTTTTTTCAAAGAGCTCATTTAATTCCATTACTAATTAAATTTGTTTGGTAAATCTGTGCTATACGTATGGCTAGGGTGCACATTGTGTTCTATGTTGGGTCATTCAAGAATGTTCTTTCAGTGTGTGTTTGTTAAAGTATTTACCCAGTAAGCCTTGAGGGCAATGAAATGCTTCTGCCTGTTGTCCTGAAAATGTTCTAGAATTCAGAATTTTAAACTGAAAATATTTAGAAAGATATAGACTTCTCATTCAGCTTCAATCTGGAGCAAACCAAAAAAACCAAACCCATTGCCGTCAAGCTGATTCCAACTCATAGCTAGCCTACAGGACGGAGTGGAACTGCCCCACAGGGTTTCCAAGGAGCCGCTGTTAGATTTGAACTGCTGACCTTTTGGCTAGCAGCCAAGCTGTTAACCACTGCTCCACCAGGGGTCCAATCTGGAACATATGGACCTCAAAATGTGAACTCTAAACTCTACTGTATTATGAAAATCCAGCCTGCATCTGAATATTGACTAGACCCTTCACAGGACAGGAAAAGTGTTTTGGGCTCCACCTGCTGGACCCACTGAGCTTTCGTGTTCCGTATGTGACGTGACTGTGTGGGTTAGACAGCAAATTAAATCAGTGGAATCGGGAACAAATAGTCCTTCCAAACAGGGCTGATAGACAAAGACAGACATAAAGATGATTCACGATGACTTTAACAGAGCAGCTTTCGGTTCATTTCAAACCAGGAATGAAGTCCACAGAGCTGCACTCCACACAGAGACTCTTGGTAAATGCCTGCTGGGTGTCTGCGTGGAAGACGCAGTCACAGGCTGAAGGCTTTCTGTTTAGTGAGGAAGGCTTACTCAAAATCTGGGGGAGCGTTTTCTCACTTTTATCTTCCATGTTTTATGAACTAAAGGTAGAATGGTGGCTAATATCCAAGGTAGGAGAGAACAATTGGCAATACTATGGTTTGTCTCGCTTACCCTTCAAACTGACTTGGCCACTGGTCTGTGAATCTCTGTTTCACAAGTGTGTTTAATTTGCACAGGGCTTGAATTTCATGTCAGTAACCCTTCATGTAACGTCACTGGTAATCAAGAAGTGAACCACCACTTAGATGACTTTGGATTTGAAGCCTAAAAAGGAAATAACTTTAATTTTACTAGTAATGCTTCCCTGCTAGTGGAACACTGGTGACGCAATGTTTAAAAGCTATAGTTGCCAACCAAAAGGTCGGCAGTTCGAATCCACCAGCTCACTGGAAACCTTGTGAGGCAGTTCTACTCTGTCCCACAGGGTTGCTATGAGTTGGAATCGACTCAGTGGCAATGGGTGTGTGGTGTGTAATGATATTTATAAATATAATAAATACACACGTTATTCATGTTATTTATATTTAGGGCAGAATTAAGAATACTCTTCAAATTCTGAAGAAGTCTTCCTTTATACGGTATAAATCTTGATCCTCGATATTCTCAGGGGATGGAGAACTGTGGTTACTGAGATTTCAGGATAACTGAAGATTAAGGGGGAAAAACATGGCTTCACTTCCAACTTTATTCCACTTTCTGCCATTTCTTTCTTTCCCTGTATCTCTCCTCATAGTATCTCCTTTTAATCTTCTTTCTATTTTAAAAGTTTTTTTCTGTGCTGTCAAAAATAATATAGTGACCTTAAATGAAAGTTTTGTGTCTTAGGTATTTTACATCTTCTCATTCATGAGCATAAGCATTAGTTATCATTGTAGCCTTGAGGATACATGCATTCAGATTGACCCACCCCGCTACCCATCCTTAGAGAGAGAAAGGACCAGTTTGTCATTTCCCCCAATTCTCTTCGGAGTTGTACAGCTATGACCCGGTGGTTTGATCTATGGTGAAAGTATCCCTCCAGGCAAAAACCCCAGAACTGTACAGAATTGTCAGGGTAGGACATTTGGAGATATATATATATATGATTATGTATACATATATATGTGGATACGTAGTATATATGTATGTATACACACACATATATGTATATGTGTGTATGTGTATATATAACAACAACAAAAAAAACACACTGCTGTTGAGTCAATTCCGACTCACAGCGACCCTATAGGACAGAGTAGAACTGCCCCATAGGGTTTCCAAGGAGAGGCTGGTGGATTTGAACTGCCAACCTTTTTTGGTTAGTAGCCATAGCTCACCGTAACTCTCAACCACTATGCCACCAGGGCTCCGTATGTGTGTGTGTATATATGTACACACACACACACACACACACACACATGCACACACAGATGTATATACATCTGTCTATATATACACACACTTATAAATGAATATAAATCTCTATATATACACACAAACAGATGTATATACATCTCTCTATATGTACACACACACTTATAGATGTATATACATCTCTATATACACACACACTTACAGATGTATATACATCTCTATATACACACACACTTATAGATGTATATACATCTCTCTATACACACAAACTTGCAGATGTTTATGCATCTCTGTATATACACACACACTTATAGATGTATATACATCTCTATATATACACACACACATTTATAGATGTATATGCATCTCTGTATATACACACACAGTTATAGATGTATATACATCTCTATATATACACACACACATTTATAGATGTATATACATCTCTATAGATACACACACACACTTAGTAGATGTATATACATCTTTATATATACACACACACTTATAGATGTATATACATCTCTCTATACACACAGTTATAGAAGTATATACATCTCTCCATATACACACAAACACAGATGTATATCCATCTCTCTATCTATACACACACACTTATAGATGTATATACATCTCTCTATATATACACACAGAGAGATGTATATACATCTCTATATATACACACACAGATGTATATACATCTTTATATATACACACACACTTATAGATGTATATACATCTCTCTGTACACACAGTTATAGATGTAGATACATCTCTCCATATACACACAAACACAGATGTATATACATCTCTATATATACACACACACACTTACAGATGTATATACATCTCTCTATACACAGTTATAGATGTATATCCATCTCTGCATATACACACACACTTACAGATGTATATACATCTCTCTATACACAGTTACAGATGTATATACATCTCTCCATATACACACAAACACAGATGTATATACATCTCTATATATACACACACACTTACAGATGTATATACATCTCTCTATACACACACACACTTACAGATGTATATACATCTCTCTATACACAGTTGTAGATGTATATCCATCTCTGCATATACACACACACAGATATATATACATCTCTCTATACACACAGTTACAGATGTATACACATCTCTCCATATACACACACACAGATGTATATCCATCTCTCTCTCTATATGTATACACACACACACACACACACACACATCTAGGTGTGTGTGCATGTGTGCTAGCCAGGGGCAATGGAGGCTTCATTGGTTTTTCTTTTTGTTATTTTAGCTAAACTGCAGATTTTGGCTTATTTCGCAGCATAGATTTCTACCCCAGAAAAGGGAGAAAGCAAAACTCAAATTAGAAACTCGAGATTCTGGTGATTGGGTTCTGGGTAATTGATATTTTACTGGAAATGGCAAAAAAAAAAAAAAAAAAAAAAAGCCACCATTAAAAGGAAGGAAGACTATGTAGCCCTTTTTTACATCAGTGTCTAGGTTGCAGCCCTGGGCCTCTGCTCTGCAGCGTCTGCTCTTCCCCGTGTCTTCCCAGGTATGCAGGGAGTTCCAGCGAGGCAACTGCGCCAGGGGGGAGACCGACTGCCGCTTCGCACACCCTGCAGACAGCACCATGATCGACACAAACGACAACACCGTAACCGTTTGTATGGATTACATAAAGGGGCGTTGCATGAGGGAGAAATGCAAATATTTTCACCCTCCTGCACACTTGCAGGCCAAAATCAAAGCTGCGCAGCACCAAGCCAACCAAGCCGCGGTGGCCGCCCAGGCAGCCGCGGCCGCGGCCACAGTCATGGTAAGTGCGGGCTCCCGCCGCGCCACCTTCCGCCCGTTGCCTAGCGCCCCCTGCTGCCAGGAGGGGCTGGTTAGAGCTGCTGGGATTTATATGCTCTTCAAAACAGTCGGGAAATCTGGAAGGCTGCTGTTTCTGCTGCTCTGCTGCCTAAGTTGTGTTGTTTTCCCCTTATTATTTCGTTGTGTCCCCCCCCTTCACTTCTTCAGCACAATAAATAAATCCCTCAGGCACAGGCAACCCAGTGCGTTCAGGGAGCTACGTTCACCCCTTCCAGCTCTGCTACAGACCGGAATGTATTGCCTTGATTGCCTCTTAAGAGGGCGGCTCAGGGGTCCTGTAATGAACGAGAAGGTGGGCGCCAGAGCTTAAGACGGCGACAGAAAGCGGTAGCTTTTGCAAGCAGCCGCTGGAGGAGAAGTCGAGCTGTGGGGACGCATAGCAGCAGTGACAGTCACTGCCGGCCTGCCCCTATTCCTTTTTCTTCTTCTTCTTCTTCTCTTATTTGTCACAATGTTTGTCAAACTCTTCCCCTCCCCCCCGAAAAAGAAATTTTATACAGAATGTCAGTTCCTGAAACGGATGAAAATGGAGCTATACTGGCCATTGCTAGAAAAGAAGGCATGTAACTCAGCCTGGTGTCCCGGAGTCACCTCCCTATAACCACTGGCCTTAGAAACCAGCAGTAGCAGCGTTGCCACCTGTGAGCCCGATAAAGCGCCAGCAGTTCCTGGTGTCTGTCCCTCAGAGGGCAGCATTATCCTCACCTGGGAACCAGTTAAAGCTCCAGCGCCTCAGGTCGCAACCCAGACCTTGTGGAGCAGAGTCTGAATTTAAAACTGTCCCCAGGTGCTTTGTTCCACATTAACGTTTGAGAAGTACCTGCCTGGAGCAGTGGTTCTCAAACTTGGCCACTACCGGCGTTACCTGAGGGGTTTAAAAAGGGTCTGACACTGTTCCCTTTCCCAAAGCTTCGTATTTAATTGGTCTGGTGTGTGGCCTGGGCTGTGGGATCTTTCAGAGTTTTCAGGCGATTCTAATGTGCAGTGCAGTTTGAAAACCACAGCACAAGGTTGTGGAAGTTTCTGATTTGTTTTAATGTGAAATCTCTGGCTTCTCAGACATTATTTTAAAAATAAGTCATAGGCACGGTGCATTCATTCACTCATTCATTCCAAGCATTTCTTGAGACCTGCCATGCACTGGCGGGGTAGAATAAATAAATGAGGCAGGTTCCCTGGCCCTCAAGGAGCTTGGAGTTTAGTAAGAGACCACAGCCATCTAAACAAAGTGAAAGCAATAATGTTCCCCAGTGACATGAGGGAAATGTATAATGGGACCCCCTGGGGCAGAAAGAACTCCGTGGCCAACCCTCCCTCGGGAAGGGCAGATAAGTCTTCAAAGATGAAAGGAACAGGTTAGAAACACATTGTTCTAACTAGCAACCACCACGTCATACATTGCTAACTAATCAAAATGTAATCCAAGTGGAAGGCTTGCTGTCATACAAACAAGCTCATCATGACTCAACATCCCTTCTGCAAATATTGGTAAAGTCCTCGCCCCGTGATAAGTGCTAGGGAGATGAAGGAAAGGCACAGAAGCTGCCCTTGTATGACCACGGCTTGGAGTGGGGTGTATGGTTACAGGGGCCTTGGCAATCTGAGTTATTCCCAAGCATGTTGACCGTTGGGGTTGGGTCCTCCATCTGTCTCACCTGCTTTTCCCCAGAGTGCCTGTCCCTTTAGTGCGTTTCCTCATGTCCTTCTCAAAATTATGTCCTTGGACATAACACTGACTTTTCTGAATGTGTGCGTTTCTATAAATGTGGGAATGTGTGCATCCACAGAGGAGAGTCAGTACAAAATAAAGACTTTTGTTGTTGTTTCTGCTCCAGTAAAAGAGTGATTTCTAAAACTGATTATAATTAGGGAATGGGGGGTAGGGGCATGGACTCAATTGATAACTGAATGCTGATGGAAAAGGAATTCGTTTAGAGAGCAAATGAGCTCTTGTATACATGTCTTCAGTGTGGAATCCGTTTACCATCCATTGACTAAAGAGCTCATCCTATGAGAAGCAGAAGTGTTTTCATGGTAGTCCTTCTTTTAGGCCAACCCCCACTTATCCTGTGTGGATTGTTGGGCACAAAGGACACACTTCTTTCCATAGAATTAATACTGTCAATCATAACTGGGTCTCCAGGATATACCCAAAGCTAGTCAGAACTCTGGTTGCAGGAGGCAAAACCCTAACTGAATTAGCTTAAATGAAAAAGTTGGACTTTGCTAGGTCTGTAGTACCCCCCAGAGTGGGTAGGTGTAAAACTGAGCTCAGGGATGTCTGGATGTCTGGATCCAGGATTCGTCTTTCTCTTCTCTGCTTCTCTTAGCATGTGAGCTCCATTCTCTAAAGCCAGCTTCTCCACATGATCCATACCAGGGCTTTGGAAACCCATATGAACACATTCTTACGGCCTTTGACGAAATGAAACTGTATCTTCTCTACCAACTCTAATTAGAAAAAACAAAAACAAAACAGTTGAGAGTCACTTTGGTGCCAATCCCTGTGATCTGGATGATAGGATACTATGACTGCTCAGCCTGGGACCACTGGAGGTGAGAAGGTATGAGACAGGCTTCTTGAAATATGAAAAAAAGAAAAGTCCCTGTACTTTAAGTGGAGTCCCTGGGTGGCACAAATGGTTAAGCACTCCACTACAAATCAAAAGGTTGGAGGTTCAGACCCATCCAAAGGAGCCTCGAAAGGCAGGCCTGGCGATTTGCTTCTGAAAGATCACAGCCTTGAAAACCCTATGGAACAGTGCTGCTGTGAACACATGGGGTCCCCACGAGTCAGAGTAGACTCAACAGCAACAACATAATTTTAAGTACTTGTTGATACAAAAACCCCATGGTACTAACAGAGACCTTAGGGCTCACTGATTTTATCTGGGCCCCGATTTTGTCTGCCTTTTCCTAGAAGTACCAGTTCTAACAGCCCTAATGAATATATACTTCAATCATTGATAGAACAATGTACCTACTATAGTCGATGGTAGATGACCTGGGCTAAAGGGGATGAGAGAAGACACAGCCATTTACACATAAGCTTGTTCTTCAGCCTGGTCTCTTTAAATCGATACGCCCTTCTAGACATTTTCACATTTCATTCATCAAGATACGTAAAGGTGATTGCAGTGAATGTCAGTATACTTCGTTCCCATAGTTCTTGGATGGTTGCACTTTGCCTCAATGTGGAGTGCGGGTAGTTCAGGGGATCCTGCAGCACCTTCAAGACAACCCAAAGCAATGTAGTTTCAGAAGAAAAGCCAGCTTCTTTCTGACAATAACATGAAAATTACCGAAGCTCTCATGTCTTTTTAGTCGAAATGAGAGGCGCATTAGAATCCAGCCTAGATGCAGGTGTAAAAAGTCAAAGTCCTTGCTCGCGTAGCAAGACCAGTCAGTACACGGAAGATAAACGATTATCTTATCTCCTTATTTAAAAGAACAAACAGGAATGAATAAAGCACTCAAGATATTAATATTCCATTCACCTAAACCCAAAGAATCTCTGTAGTACAATTTTTATTTTTGTCCAGGGGGACTTCCCCCTTCTTTTAATCAATTGGACCCCACCCCAAAAAAAAAACGAAATTAAAGCTTTGATTCCAGAAAAAGAGACATTCCGTTTCTTTAGAACCTTATTCTTTTTCAGTACCTCTTAAAATGTGAGAATCACCCTCACCAGGATTTTTACAATGTGAAAATAAGCCAGACAGAGCTTCTCTTTGGTAGTTTTAACACAAAAGGTACCTGATCTTCAAGCAAGCAGTCTTTCTTCCCACACAGTAAAATGGGGCAACATGAGGAAAACACTGCTTTGTAAATGGAAAGAGCACAACCTGCCATCCCTAGATTCACAAAAACATGGACAGGAACTTTGAATTCTACCCTACCTCTCACACTTTTATTCCCTGCTAACCTGGCAGCTCTGGTGATGTCGTCAGCGTTTCCAGACCCCGCAGACTGGCCTGTAACGCCTGGTGTGGGCTCTTGGTTTGCCTGCCTTGACTCACAAATGAATTCTTCCAGATCCAGAAACAATAAAAACCTAGCCACATGTAGGGCCTCCTCCTGCTTATTCACCCATTGACAAAGCTGGATAAGGTCAAGAAAGGAGCAGAGGCCCAGAAATGTTGGTGAGGCCAGCAAGGATGGATGTGCTTACCAGGGTCTGCCACATAGTACACCCCAAACCCACTGCCGTCAGGTCAATTCTGACTCATAGCCCACCCTATCAGACTGGGTAGAACTGCCCCATGGGATTTCCAAGGCTGTAAATCTTTACGGAAGCAGACTGCCACATCTTTCTCCCGTGGAGCGGCTGGTAGATTTGAACTGCTGACCTTTCGGTTAGCAGCTGAGCACATTAACCACTGAGCAACCAGGGCTCCTGCCACACAGGAGGGACTCAATGAAAGAGACTCTTCCTCTGCAGTAGGACCCGAGGGGACTCCCGAGAGCCACTGAATCTCTAAGGGCCATTCTAAGCCTGCAGATCTTTCAATATAAATTAATGCATGACAGTGGTCAAATGACAGCCTCTTAAAAAAAAAAAAAAAATTCTGTGTACTACAAACCCAAATTATAACATGATTATCCAAACACACTGATAGCGGCCCTATAGGACAGAGTAGAACTGCCCCGTAGGGTTTCCAAGGAGTGGCTGGTGGATTTGAACTGCCAACCTTTTGATTAGCAGCCAAGCTCTTAACCACTGCGCCACCAGGGCTCCTTTTTTTTTTTGGTTTCTTATACATGTACTTCACAAGGTAGGGCGTACAAGATGTGAGTCTATATGCCCTACCCTCCAAGAAGGAGTCCAGGTGACGCAAGTGGTTTGGGATCAGCTGCTAACCCAAAGTTTGGTGGTTCAAACCCACCTAGCGAAGCCCTAGAGAGCTGCTTCCATAATAAGTACAGACAACAAAACCCTAATAGACAAGAAAACCCTATGGTGCAGTTCTGCTCTGTAACATATGGCGTCGCCATGAGGGAACGGCCAACCTGACCGCCACTAACAACCGTAACAAACCTTCTGAGAGCTTAGTGCTTCCTTGAAGACAAGACAAGACAAGACGGAGTGGTAGATGGGATACGCTGTCACTGCCCTGCTCCGATCAGAGCTCTCCATTTCTTTACCTTCCTAGATTATTCTAATTTCTGTGGAAAGTAAGTTTCACAAAATTAAGAACAGAAAAAAGAGAACATTAACCTTCCAGGTGATTATCCTAAGGAGAAGTATTTAAAACTTCTTATTCTACTTGGAGATATCATTACATGATGATTGTTAATCAAAGTTCTGTTCATAAATAGCAGCATTTGGAGACATAATCACTGTTCCAACTAGCATGTTAGAAAAGACCAACCCAGGAGAGAAACAGCAGGTTTGCTCTCTAACGGTCTCTGCAGTGGAAACGTGAACGGAAGCATGGAGTCCAGAAAGTTGAGGCCAAGATGATTTTGGGTTGAACCATCCAGTCAATGTTCTCAGTGAACTCTATGAGGACAGGCTTACGTAGCAGTATTTCGTTAATAAAGATTAACTTAGGCTGAATAAAAACAAAACTCTGCTTTATTTAGCAAAGTAAAAGAGAGAGACAAAAGATTGTAAACAAAAATGGTTATCTAGGTTACATGCTGGCAAGCTTACATTGGAGAAAAGAGTGTCCCGTACACAGAAGATTTCTTAGTGTGGGACCAGTTGGTTTTTTAAAATGTTCACAGTTCATTTCAGAATATCAATTTCATATTTGATGGCCTGTATCAAAACTGCCTTCTATAGTATTTTCTTCTCTGTTAATCATTCTAAATCTCTTTTCTACCTATGGCCCTTTCCATTTTATTTCTAGACTCTCTTTTCTCACCTCCACAGATCTTTACCTTGTTCCCTGTTATTTCCGTACTTTTGATCCACAGTCACCAAAGAGCAATGAACGTCCCTTTATTTGCCGAGGAAAATGTCATTGTTTCTCATTGTAAGGACTTAGTCCTATCCTATTTTATTTCAGATGCCATGGTTCAACCTCAGAAGTTTAGGATATACACATTTGTGTTTATTAGATGAACCTTAGGGATTTACCTATTGTGCTAAACATAAACAAGGGTCTTTTTGTTTTTTGTTTTTTTATTTATTTTTAATTTGCATTAGAGCTGTTCCTTTGGCTATCTTTATTTTCACAGAATTCCATCCTACAATTTTTAGATTTTTTTTTTTTTTTTACAAAAATTATCAAGGAATAGGAAAAATTTTCATTGTGGTCTAAATCAAGCAATATTTGTTATTATTTCAACTGTTTAAATGTAGTCTCTGCCAGAAGTATGGTTATAAGTTAAATCTATGATTAAACCTCTGATCTTTCAAGCAGTTCTTTGCCATTTTCAGCTGGTTTCTATTTTTAGCTGTTGTCCTTGTTCTAGCCAAGAATTCTGTATTCTCAGTAACTGGGTTGGTCACTAATCGTAGCTAAAAGTTCAAACAGAAATGTTAAATATAAATTATTTTGATCCTCAAAGACACTGAATACCTTTTTAAAGAGTGTTTTCTTAGTGTAATACGGTAAGTTGTTTGCCATAAATTATAATTTCAAATGTAGTAGAGAACATAGAATGGATGATAAGTTAGTTACTAGAGGAAGTCTAATGGAATAAAAATGGGAAATTCTAGAAAATTATTATTCAAATTGAAAACTCATTAAGATTAGCGTCTTGTTCCACATTGGAAGAATCCACACTAGCAGAGTGAAGAGAAAAATTGAGACAATTATCCACGTGATTCAGACAAAAAATAAAGATCCAAACCCAAACAGTTCTGCTGAAATAATCTTGTGTTTGAATATTTTTTTGCCTGAATTTTTTTGTCTCAGTTTGCCACTTCATTCTGTTAGGCAAGATCTGAACTAAAAACTATTTTGACAGAATTTTTCAACCTGGGCTGTATACTGAATACATTGGTTACTTTATATTTGAAAACTAACTTATCAGAAGTTCTTCAATCCTATGGCCCTTAAAAGTTGTGCATTTTTTTTCTGAAGCAATATAAAAAATGCTTATGGTGTGTATGCAAGCTGCTGTTTTAATTAACTTTCCTGAATTTCAAACATCTATATTTTACTCTCTTATATGCTTTTAACTAAGGTATGGTAGATGCATTTTTGCTTCAATACTAATTTAAGGTGTAATATTCATTTCTTTAGAGAACATTTTTGTTGTTGTGCATGCCTAGTGTTTTGTACGTTGTATATTGCATTCAGAATATTTTTTTCCTTCTCACCTATCCACAATGCAATGCCGTTCCCATGATGCACCTCTGCTTGCTGTTTACCTGTATGTTAATTCGCTTGAATCCCATTGGCCCACTGCCATCATGTGCTCGCTGCCTGTTATTAAAAGACTCAGTCGACTGCCAAAGCAATGAAGCGACCTCTCGAAGCAACTGTAGACCTGGTACTTTGACCTTTCACCTTTCGCTTTGCATGTAGCTTTTCAGAGAACCATCTGAGATTTGTATGACTTGTAAAATATTGGTTGCCAACAATCATTATTATTAATTTATGGAAAAAGTTCAATAAGGTGTTTAGCCATCTCATTTCATATGTAATACGTGAAATAAATGAATCCTAACAAAGTTTAATACCTTTTCCAAAAGAGTGAAGCAAATTTAAATTACTTGGCTCAGAAAATGCTCATTATAATTCTAATTAACCTGTAGATTCAAGAAATTACCGTTTAGTTAAAGCAAAGAATAGGTATTAATAATAACACAACTGCTTCTTTTCCCCCCTTAGAGTAGTTTAACTCATTTTAAAAGCTGAAGCCATTTTGTGCTGCTTGATAGTTTTTCTCTTCCTGAGTTGAGATGCTACCGTTTTGGGGTTACAGAAATCATGCTTTCGCTCTCAATAACAAGTTGTCACTCATTTGACATTGCCGCTGTTTAAATTAAGGCGCATGGCAGAGGCATCTTCCTAGCTGTCATTTTTAAAAAGAATGTTGCCATTGATTATCTCTGTGGACACTGAACGTGTGTTTACTTTAAGTTCTACATGTCGTGTCAAATTCTTCATTTCTAGGCCTTCCCTCCTGGTGCTCTTCACCCCTTACCAAAGAGACAAGCACTTGAGAAAAGCAACGGTACCAGCGCCGTCTTTAATCCCAGCGTCCTTCACTACCAGCAGGCTCTGACGGGCGCCCAGCTGCCGCAACACGCCGCGTTTATCCCGACAGGTACGCGCCCCCACTCTCCAGCCCTGTGTTCATGTGCCCTTCCGGTCATGTGCTTTCTTCTCATCTCTTTAAGCTGTCTGGTGGCACCTAGTTTGCTCTTGAAGGTCCAGTACAGTCCAAAACGCATCGTTGTCCTAGCTATCTAGACGTATCGACATTGCTTTGAATGATAGCTGAAGACTTAGGAATCTAAAGCCAAATATTTCATGAAGTGAAGACAGATTTAACCCCTGAGAAACATGTCGCAGTCAGGGCTTTTGGGTTCTGTATTTACACAAGCCGTGTGAAATTGTTTATGTAAATCAGACCTTTAATGTGTGACAGTTGAAATTTGTCATTAACACCTAATGACCTAAAAATAGCAATGACGGTAAATACTAACCTTTTCCTCTTTTCTATTCAGAACACTAAAAACACTAGGCTGTTGAAATTAAAGCCATCCTGTACTCAGATTTTTAGATCCATTCTGTCTCTGTCTCCATTCTTCACTTTCGCCAAGTTCTCAAATATCTAGGGTTCTTATCCTCGATTTCTGAGTCAATGCCTGATAATATTAGGTGCTGAGGTGCACTAACTATCATTTCACTCAGAGATCAGTTCTGTTGAGCATAGAAGCTTGGCGTTTAAAGGGCTCTTAGTGATCTGCTCATCCAATTGATTGTTTTACAGATGAGAAAACTGAGGCCCCCTAAATGTGAAGTGACTTCCCAAGGTGGCGCAACTCTTGAGAGCAAGACCTAGAACCTGTCTCCCCTATGACCTGCCCAGTTCCCAGAACAGTACACTACCTGGCCTCCGTAGATGGAGTCCGTAGATTTCTCCTCCGAGAGCGTGGCATCCAAAGTCAGATAAAAGTGAAGGAACAGGAGGACAATGCGTGTCATCCCTTCCCCATTTTTTACCCACCTCCCTGACCACAGACACACGTACGCCATACACAAACACACACAGTCACCACAAGTTGACTGTGGTTTTGACCTTTTAGTCTGTGTTATAACCAGGAAGTGACGTAGTCCTTAGGGAAGACCATCACTGAGTTCTTAGTTACCAAGTCAAAGTTCTTCATCTCACGAGAGGGAGTCGAAGGTAAACAGAGATGAATAACAATTTTATGGAAAAGGGCTTGTTGATCCTAATCCCTATGGTTGGAATTTTCGGGTTTATTATCCATCTCCTTAAATACTGTAGCACACCAGGAGTGAACATCAGAGGGAGCTGAATAAATATTTCTGTGATTGTCTTTGCATAAAATCTACACTTGGAAATGAATGATTAACCTGCTAATAACAATATTTGTTTAACAACAATATTTGTTATAGTAAAATATAAATTATGTCAGTCGAAATGGTCTTTAGTGTTGAGTTGCCTTGTTTTAGTTCTGTACTTATCTTAAAATAAACAATCTCATAGACCAGTAAAGTGAGATTTCTAACTCAGTACTTATTGGGGCTTCGCTCTGACCCTATTAAAACCTTAATTAGTGACATTCCAGTGCAGTATAGCCCAGCAGTATTTGTCCTTGTAATCCACTTGAAATAAGATACTTATAATTACTACAAGGTAGGCTTACCTTGATGTCCTGTGGGATTTCTACAAATGTCTCATTGTAGATGTCTTGGTCTGTAGATATTTTAAGACAAAAAATAGGGGAACGAGTACTGAGGGGAAAGACGTAAGAGGACAAGTCTGTTTCTGAAGAATGGGTAAGAATGCCGCTACCATCTCCCGAGAATGCTTATGAACCCCTGGAGCCAGTTTGCACAACAGACTCCAAGGTCCTCTAGCTCATATGTAACGCTCCAGTCCAATACTGACTGATTTGTTAAATCGCTGAAAGAATCCGCATTTCAGAATACTTCACCTGGAAACCACTTAAATATTTCCAAAGCAAGGATGACTGTCATCCCTTATGCAATGACCTAAATTTTGTTGCTGATACGTATTCTGTTAAGGACTGCTATGCTCTGCGGGCTGCTGTGGCTGTGTACTTCTGCCCCCTGCTGGATTCTTTAAGAAATGATCTGGTGTGTCCGGCAACACTCAATTCTGTACATTTGGGGAGACAAAAAGTGGGTCCTAGCCCACTTATGTCTGTGAATTAGAAGTGTTTCCATCAGTAACATGACCTAAATACCATAGTGGACAAACAGGTGAATCTCGTGTTCTGACATGGTCTTTAAACTCTAAGAATTTTTCACAGGTATCTCTTATATAACGAAAGAGAAAATAATTGTATTAAAAGGAAATTAGCTGACTCTTTCCCCGACTCAATTCCATGACAGAAATTGCAGTGTTCATTTTAGGTCAGGTGTTCATTTCAGGCTTTCTTCCTCATAAGGTACATGTTCAACCCAATTTCAAAATAATGATTAATAATCACTCTTTTTTATCATTGTTTTAAACCTCTGCAAATTAAGTGATAGGTTCAAAAATATTTTTCGTAATATGGAGATGGTCAGCCCATTATTTTTACACTGACAAATTTTGATTTTTCTGTGAATACTTTCCATTAACAATTATCATAATATGAAACAAGCTATGTTCTCCTGGAGGTTCTCGTTTATCGTATGGTCATTCATAATGAAGTTTTGACATGCTGCTAAAATTCCCCCATTGACACAATGTGAATTTGGAGCCAAATTTAGAAATTTGGCCTCCAGCCTGTCAAATATGCAAAATAGGAGATTCTTCTCAAAAACCATGCTAATTATCACCCTAGCTGATGCCCCAGCATATTTGCAGTGGGTGGGATTTTTCTTTCTTTCTTTTTTTTTTTTTTTCTCTTTTTGATAGGGATTATTTTAACCTAGTAGTTATAATTCTTCTCTGCCATGCTAGGCAAGTGGCAAAAACCACACACACTTAGAAGAATAGCAGCGTAATAATTCTTGGCATTTCTCTGACAGGTTTATTCTGAGTTACTCTAAGTGTTCTTATAGACATTATCTCTTTATTCTCCAAGATACTGCAGTTCTGTCAGTGGCAGGCATCATTATTTGCATTTTTCAGATGGAAAAACTGAGGCTGTGTCTACAATGGCAAAGTAGAATATATGATTCATGAAATTATACCGATAATTTTGACTCACAGATACCGAATTTGAAATATTTGTGCAACTGAGGCAGAAAACATTTGGGAAGCCTTTGTCAGTTAAATTAGCGCCTTAGTTAAATGCTTCAGCCAGTCAGAACAAGGCAGCCCACTCAGTCTCTCCTTGGTTTATATCATTCTGTTGGAATTAAGGAACCAATAGAACAGGAAAAAAAAATGCCAGCCCAAATACTGCCCAAAGTGACGTAAGGTTATCACACAAGGTGGTGTGATGTTTATCCATGTTTAGTGGAAACCGTGTCTCTGTAACCACAGCAAAATGAGTATTAACATACTTATTCCATTACACTTAGCAAGTATTTCTTAAGCACGTAGTACGTGCTGAGTTTCAGAACCCGTAACGGGACTACAGAGGAGTTCAGGACTAGGTGAAAAATAAATCTAATGCAATGTGCTAAGGGATGCTTTCGGGATATGAACGAAGCTGTATGAGAGTGAAGGAGGGAGAGGCTACAGTATGCTCAGGGGGTAACTGAAAGATTAGGAAGATTTTGCCAGTGAGGGAAGAGCATCCCAGGCAGGGGTAGCAGCATGGGATGGGAAGGGTGCATTTAAAGAATAAGAAGTCGTCCATGGTGGCTACAGTGAAGAGTACTTAAAGGAGCTTGTGAGGAGAAGGGGGGCAGAGTAGGATGAAAAGGCAGAGACATGACCTGAAAAGATACCCAGGGAGATGCTGACTAAGACAGATACACACATGACAAAAGCTATGCCATGACATTCACATGCGTGACACAGGAAGGCTCCCCAACAAAGCCCCTCCACATGGGAATGGAAGGGAATGAGAGTAGATTTTTATGGGATAACCTTGAATCCACCATGGTTGACTTTAAAATAAAATCATTCACACACTGGGTACTTGAATCATTTTTAGGAACAAATTGCTCCCAACACACCTCTGACTAATGATTAAGAACATTCATTCAGCACATTGACCACCTACTATGTGCCCAATCGACTAGATAGACATGATCTCTGCCCTCATAGACCATACACTGGAAGAGAAGAGATGGATGTTAAAATAAATATCCAAATTAATATATAATAAATAATTTTATCCAAAACCCAAACCAAAGCCATTGCCATCAAGTCAGTTCTGATTCATGGTAATCGTACAGGACAGAGTAGAACTGCCCCATAGGGTTTCCAAGGAGTGGTTAGGATATTCAAACTGCCATCCTCTTGGTTAGCAGCCAATCTTTTAACTACCAGAGCTCCAAACAGTTTCGTAAAAACTAAACGCATCTATTCCGACTCATATCATAGGGTTTCCAAGGAGCAGCTGGTGGATTGAAACTGTTGACCTTTTGGTTAACAGCCGAGCTCTTGACAGTTTTATAGGTGCTATAAATATTAAAAACCAAAGATTTCATGAGATATTGAAAATATGAAACTGATTTAGGTGGCCCAGTGAGGTAGGTAAAAGAACAGTTATAAAACAATTTTCTAAAGAAGTGGCATATACCTTGAGATCTGGAAGATGAAAAGAGTGGGGCAAAGGTTATGCTAGGCAGAGGGGATAGCATATATAAACCCCAAAAGCAGAACAAGAGTGTGATGTGTTCAGTTCAAAGTAATGGAAGACGAATCTGCTTGGACCCTAGTGCCAGGAGAGGGAAGTAGGACGAGCTGAAGAGGTAGTCAGAGGCTGGGTCATGAAGGGCCTTCATCCTAAAAGCAATGAGAAGCCACTGAGTCATTTCCAGCAGAATGACAGGTTCTGCATGTGGAGAGGTTTGCTCTGCCAGCAGAATGGATGATAGACCAAGGGGGACAGGAGTGGAAGCAGGAAGACCAGTTAGGAAGTCATTGCAGACCCAAGGCTAGAGATGATGGTGACCGGGACTTGGGAAGTGGCAGTAGAGATGGACAAATAGATAAATGCAAGACAGGTTTTAGAAGCAGAATCACTTGGGCTTGTTGGAGAGTTGGACATGGTGAATTTCACATGGTAAGAGGGTGTCGGGGATAACTTTCAGCTTAGGCTAGAGCTACTAGATGGATAGCGATGTCTGTCTAGTATTTACTGAGGTGGAGAAACAGATTTCTGTGGGAAAGATGAAAGTTTAGACCCGTTAAACGTGAGACATCCAAGTAGAGAGCCAGGTGAGCAGTTAGAGAAAAGGATCTCAAGGCCAGAGGAGAGATCTGGGCAGGATACATAAATCCGGAAGCCATGAACTTATACATAGTATTTAAATACATGGGTTGAGTAAATAGTCCAGGAAACAGTGGAGGAGATGAAAAAGATCAAGAGTCCCGAAAAACTCCAGCATACTGAGTCCAGGGAACGATGAGCATCTAGCAAAGAAGACAGAAAGAAATTACCAGAAAGAAAAAAATATATATGTGTATGTATATATGTGTGTATACACATATATATACGTATATATATGACGAGACTTCATCTCACATACTTTGGACATATTATCAGAAGGGACCAGTCCCTGGAGAAGGACGTCCTGCTTGTGGAGGATCAGCAAAAAAGAGGAAGACCCTCAAGGAGATGGATAGATACAGCGGCTACAACAACAGGCTGAAGCACAGCCACGATCGCGAGGATGGCGCGGGACTGGGGAGTGTTTCGTTCTGTTGTCCATGGGGTGGCTATGAGTCAGAATCGACTCGACAGCACCTAATGATAACAACCACGTAAATGTGTAAGAAAAAGAAAAGCGTGTCAGCAGAGAGCCCAAGTGAAGAGAATGGTTTATTATGGAAGGGAGTGGGCCACCTCTAAATGCTACAGAGCTTCAGGAACAGTTAGGGGAAGATTGAAGCATCCCTGCTGCCTTGAGCAATCGAGCCGTCTTAGGTGATGTTAGCAATTTCAGTGCAGCAGTGAGAGGAAAAGCCAGACTGGAGAGGATGAAGAGTGAATGATAGTAAGAAAGTGAAAAGCTATGTATGGATAACTTCCCAGGTGTTAGAGAGACAGGGCTGGAGAAAGGGTGTCATGAAAGGGATTTTGAGTGAGCGTGGGGGGGTGGGGTGTGTGTGTGAGCGTGTGTGTGTGTGTGTGTGTGCTCGCACATGCGCGTGTACACATTTCTGTGTTTTAGGTTGGATGTATTAGCACACGTTTGCTTAAGTGAAGAATCTGGTAGTAGCCCAGTTAAATAGCCTTTTCTTCCTCAATAGTTAATAATGTTAGTGATCAAAATGTAGAGCAGGCAAGAAATCTCCCTCCAGTACGAGCAGCTCAGCAGAGAGAGAGTGAAGACGAACACATCTCAGATTCTTCATCTAGTCCCTCAGAAAGCAGATCTAAAATCCTAAGTGGGTAGGCCTACGCTCATACAAAATTAATTCTCTGGCACCTAGATGACACCCGATTTTCAGTTATCTAAATCTTTACATTACCTTCATTTTCATCCTAAGGACTTGAACTAGAAGCAGCTAATTCTTCAAAGCTTTAAAACAGTTCTTTTTCAGTCCTCCACAACAGACGTTAATATTCACGGTTAGATTTTTCTGATTCGAATGTGTTAATAAGATCACCCTCAGGTAAAGCAGCTATTCCCAAGGAAGAGCTGAAACCCCTCGCCCTTTACCTCCCACCTACCCACTTAGACACCACCTTGAGATTTCCTAGTTTTGCCAAAGGCCTCCCTCAGGGATCACCTTGTAGCAGCCATGGCAAGCATCCCTAGCCCTGGTCCCAGCGCAGCCCCAGTTGTGCCATAGTCTGCCTGTAGAGTGTTTAGACTTTAGCGCTAGTCACCATTCTTTCGTTGTAATGAATCTAGGAGCCGAAAATAGATCACGTATGTATCTGGATCATTTGTCATACGAACCCCAGTCTTCCTATGTTATTGGACCTTCAATCAGTAATCTAAAATTGATTTAGAGAATATGGAATCTTAATGACTGGCTTTTTTTTGGGGGGGGGTTTCTTCATGTTGTCGTTGACATGAAACATGTCACAGTCAAACAGACAAACTGATAATGCAATAAGGTCAGTGTAATCTAGTGAATACAAAGCCTGACCTGGATTTGGGAAGAGAAGTCTATTTCTGGCCTTCCCCTTGACTCACACTATGCACGACCTTGGAGGAGTTACTATGCCTCAGATTTTTCATCTGTAAAATACCCACTTCCCACCTTGGAGCACTAACTTGATAACGTCTGTAAAATACTCTGAGGTCTTCGAGGAAGGATGCTACAGCATGATTAACTGTCATTCTTATTAGAATCACGTCAATGTATATGGAACGAAAGTGTGAAAAGTAGTGTAAGGAGTGAGCTTTGAATAATATTTGGCTTAAAATCAGTCAGATATATTTGTGTCAGGATTGCAAATGTGAATGATCCTAAAAGACTGTGTTGACTAACCCTACTTATTTCTGGTTGTGCTTCAATCTCACTTTGAATGTTAACTCTAAACGCTAACCTGTTTCTTTCCCTTTATTCACTTTTCCACCTCCCATTGCATGCCACACAGGGTCAGTTTTGTGCATGACACCCGCTACCAGTATTGGTAGGTTTCAACCTTTTTTTATTTGTCTTTTATATTATGTACATTATCTTCACTTGCTTGAAATTTATTTCAGAGACGGTAGACATGCTTTAGGAAATGGTAGATCTGAAGGCTTATTTGGCTTTAGAGTTAACCCATAGAGGTTTTCTGTTAAAATGTACTTGTATATTTAAGAAAAAGACGATTTTACGGTGACCTCCTGGGCTAGAAGAATCACTCCAAAGACATAGGACCACAAGTACTAGTCTGCTTTTTTTAATGATCTGTATTTTGTTTCTCTTTATGTTTCCTATGGTTTAGCGTAAGGAAAAAAAAAAGCTACTTTATCAGAGAGGCAGGCTGATTTCATCAGTGTTTTAAAGTTTCATGGTGGTGTGCCTTTATCTCCTCTTTGCTGTGTGTTAAGGGTTATCAGAGTTTCCCAGAAGTATTTGTTTTAAAAAATTATAAACAGATGTATTTTTGGAAACCAAATGTCTGCACCTCCTTGCTTTATTATTACTATTTTAGTGTTACGTGTTGATTTGTTTGTGATGACTGTTACTACTAAACATTCCACTGGATGTTACATTTTAATGGTCTGTAGTTACCCGTTCACATTCCAGTGCCCTGGTACAAGTTTCCAGCCTGTCTTTAGGACGCGTGGATTAGTTCCATTTAGAGTCAAGAAAAACAGACATTGGCAAAGTTTGTCTGGCTATCTCACAGTAAGTGTGGTAAAACTTACATCAAGAGCCTGATTTTTGGTCCAAAGTAAACCAGAATCCCCAGCAATTCCAGTTCAAATAAGCAGCCCCAAATTGGAAAAAAAAAAAAAAAAAATCTATTTAACCGCAGTTAATTTCAAAGAATGTCTTATCCCAAATTCGGCCCACACGTGGAGCCTTTGATATTTTAGAATTGCGATTAAAAATGATTATCAAATACTCTTACTTCATTGGACATTACACAGCCATTATTTTATACGTTATATGCTCTCCATTTGGAATGATCTATTATTAGGAATATTATGTTTATAAATACATCAACCAAAGTAATCTGCTTTGGCCTTTCTGGGAATCACTGATTATGTTTTAAAACTTCCTTTAATTGTACTTGTAATAAGCTATTTTCCCTTTTTTATTTCTCTCCCATGCTTCCTTGCTTTGCATTGTGATTGCATGCCATCTGCTGGTTTAACCCATGATGGCTTGCTGCTCTGATATTCACCATGCCAAATACCACTTCTATTACCATAATGCTACACCCTCCTGTTCATTGCTCCCATGGTTCCCCTCCTGAAAGTACCCATGATGCACAGCGCTACGTCCGCCACTGTCTCTGCAGCAACAGCTCCTGCAACAAGTGTCCCCTTCGCAGCAGCAGCCACAGCCAATCAGGTTTGCTCCTTTTAAAGCTTTCTTTCACAGATCCCAAACTCTAAATGAGTGCTGATATTTTTTTAAAAAAAAAATTCTCAGTGAGAATTTTTTTTCACGTTTATCCATCAAATTTTATTTTTTTAATTAGTTTCTAGCAAGCATTTACGGCCAGGTAGCACTTATTTAGAGTTAACATTTACTGCAAATAATGATGTAGCTATGTTTTGTGTTGCACTGTTTGTTTTCGTACCTAATATTGTGTAATTAACCTGACAGGCTTGAATCCCTTTCGAGCACAGCGTTACTGATCCAGTGGTTTGTGAATTGCTACAGAAAAATTGCAAAAGCCCTCCCACGGGTGCTTCAAAACCAGCTATGTGTTGATTCAGTTCATTCAGACCCTAACATCTCTTGTGGAGGAAAATATTCTCCTCTTAGAAAAGTCTTCCCTTTCTCTTTAGCGTCAAATTTGAGGTCCGAGTAATTCTCGTTAACAGTTCACTGCGGTCGTATGTGCTCCAAAACACACTTTACAGTCCGTGCAACGCTGGCAAAAGAGCCAGACCATACAGGAAGGAGGGTGATGTGCCCCTGAGTTCACAAAGACTGGATTCAACCGATTAGGGACTGTGAACTCTGTTCTTTCAATGCATGTGCCAGTAAGACCAGGGACCGACTGTTTCCTACTGAGGGCTTACTGGCTTTCCTCTCTGGTCGCAGGCTGCCTGTATTCCTAACCCCAGGCAACCGACATGCAAACACGTGCTCCTGGCCACAGGGAGAACAGTGAGGGCCGAGCAAGCGTCGCTCCCGCCTTACCTGAGCAAAAGACCTTACTGTGCATGCTCTCCCTTCCTAGAAGATTTTGGTTTTGTTTTCTTTTGTTTTGTTAATAAAATCAACTTTGCTGGTAAGAGGTGAAAAGAGTAGAGGCTAGAAGGAAGGTCCAAGTTAATGGGGAAAATCAAGGGCCAAGGGCATAAACGGCAGAACCCGAATTGCGAACCCTTCTTTCCACGTTTGAGCAAGTAAGCAATTCCAGTGCTATAGGTTTCAGCACTTAAAAAGACAGGTGTGAGTGTACTTGAATGCAGGATTAAAGTCAAACCGCTGTGACAGCTCCTGCTGGCCCTCCGCACTGGGACAAAGCGGGAACCAGCCGAGCCAGGAGGGAAGGAGGAGAGGCCAGTGAGAAGCTCCGAGCAAATAGAAGCTCCGGTACTGATGATGGTTCAGCTCTTCCCTCCCTGCCTCAGAAACGCCCAGCAGTCAGTCCACTAAGGAGAACCACCTCA